ACAGCCCCCTGCCGCCCTGCCTGTGCAGCCGGCCCCTGCACCTGCGCTGCTGCTGCGCCCTGCACCCCTGTCCCCGCTGCCTCTGCGGCCTCGTCTGCCGGGCGTCCTGCCTCGCCGCCTGGGAGAGGAAGGTCCTCCGAGCCCAGCTCGAGCTGGAGCGCGAGCTGGCCAGGTAAAAGGGCCGCCTGCAGGCTTGCTACGGGTATTTGCGTCTTTTGAGGCCGGATTAAGGGGATGTCAAAGGTGGAAATAGGTAAGCAGGGCAGGAGACAAATACCAGCTGGGGGGGAAATTCTGGAGGAAGGGAAAGCATTTGGCGCTGCTGGTGCAGCACCTGAAATACTCTGGACCTTAAGTATGAAAAAACGTGACTTCAACCGTCTTACCAACTGTGTCCAAAAGTAAGGTACGCCGCTAGATCCAAAGCTGTTCAGCTGTGGAGCAAAGTCCATCTTCAATGTAAATTCAATTTAAGTCTATTTAAAGTAAAAACATGTTGTCATCTTCATCAATACCCAAAAGGGGCCTGTATGTGGCATGCCGGGCACGTATCTCTGTGTTTTCCCAAATACTAAGTAGGAGCAGTGAGTTTCAGGATTTCTAAATCCCCATTTTGACCACTGTGATGAGGATGTTATTTTGTCAATATAGTTCCAGACTGACTTTAGCATAGATAAAAATAAAATATAGCCCTACAGGAAGGCAATGGTTAAATGATAACGCCTTCCTGTTAGAGTTAAGGCAAAAACAAATGCTTAGAAAGCAGAAGGGGTAAGAAATCAGACGGTGGTGGAAGCCTGTTATTACATTTCCTGTATTTTTATTCCCTCCCCAAAACTAAGACTACCCAAGCTTCTGCTTGAGTTCTGTTTTGTTGTGCCTGGAGACGAGACCTTGATTTTGTCAATTAAAAGCGTCACATTTTCATGACCCGTAGAGCAGCGAGTATCGGCCACAGGCTGCCGTGTGTGTTATCTAGTGGGTGCAAAGAAGTTAGAGGAAAAAGCCTGACCCCTGGGTTAATTTTACACTGACTTCAGCAGAATTGAAAGTTGCTGTGAGGTTACTTTAAACTTATCTGCTGGCTGCAGCTCACACGAGGCTGTCGGGCAGCTCATTTCAGACGGGGCCCTCCCGGCTCCCTGGCCCTACCCTGGCTGCTGTAAGAGCCCAGGTTTTCGTCAGTGCACTGGGTGTCAGAACTGGACAAGTACAGCATCCAATTGCAGAATTACACAGCATCTCAGTAAAGTGCATGGAAACTCTGTGTGAATCCTGAAGGTCTTCAGGAGCTGCCTGTGGGACTGCCGGGAGCTATTTGCCCAAGCGTCAGGCTCACCGTCCCAGTCGGTGCCGCGCTCGGGAGAACTGGCTATGGAACCTGTCATGAATCTGTGAATGAATCTGTACCGCTTTCATCTGAAATCACACCAGAGCAGGATTTCAGCCTGTCAGGCTGGAGAATTCAACTCAGTTCAGTTTCCCCCCAAAATGCTCTGAATGACCAACTCTTCTCCCAGAAGCTTATTCTCCTCCAACAAGCAATGTAAAAAGACCGTAGAGGTAGATGGTGGAGCCAGCTCTCAGAGAGCACAGAAAATCCATTTTAAAAGCACTGTACCATGTTGATTCATTGCAGGCTTTTTTAACAGAAATAGTATTTCTGCAATTGGTGTACTTTAGTAATGAACCACTCTGGGATTTCTCACCTTCTGGTCACACCTGTTTTCTCATTTGTTACCCCTTTTCCTGTTCCATCACACACATTTTCTTCTTAATTTGTTGCCTTGTATCCAGTCTAGCCTATTAGAACTGAGGCTACCCTTCTACTGTATATTTTACAAATGATTTGAAAAACAGCCATTCTTTTGACTGAGCAGAGTTACCGTTTGACAGTATTAGAAATCATTTTAGTGGATCAGTAAGCCTCCAGCCCAGCTTTGCATGAGCATTTTTTGTATTTTTTGCCAGATGTGTCTCTTATCCACTGTTCACTTTAAACAAAATGCCTAACTGGAAAACACAATTCATTGTAACTATCCATTAAACATTTAGAACAAGGCGTAACATAGACATGCTTGGCCTAGTGGACATGTTTACCTGTGAAAGAGGAGCAGTGGCTTCTGTATATTCAGGTGAAAGAACTTTTCATCTTCTCAGTTGCCCCATGCCAAGAGCACACAGCAAAATGCTCCTTATCGCTGAAGCATGCGAAGAAGCATCATGTATTCATTTTGAGAGTGTAGACGATTCCACAAGGGCTGTGCATCAGTGTATGTGTGAAGATAGACCCAACAGTTTCCTGTTTACTTCTCTTGTCCTCAAGGGTAACCACCCATCCCTCTATTAGTTGGACTGAAAGGTTGTCTTCTTGTTTTTATTTCAGTGAGCGAAGAAGACTTAATAAGATGTTGAACTCTTCCCATGATCATAAGCTTTTAGCTTTGATGGATGTGAACGGTTTTGACCCTGATGAAGTTACTGTAAAGGTGAAAGATGGGAAGGTTAAAGTGTTAGCAGAGCACGAGGAGGAACACAGCACCATAAGAGGGAAATGGAAAGAGTATAACTACAAAAACATCAGAAAAGAAATCAGCTTGCCTCCTGGGGTGGAAGAAGACGAGGTGATGTATTCTGTAGGACCTAACAGTATCGTGAAGATTGAAACTCCACGCAAGTGCTACCCATGTCTTATGAGTCTCTGACCGAAGGCAGGGAGCAGCGAGCCGCTGCAGCCAAACAGTTCATGGACACAGTGCGGGTCAGTCCAGCGCAGCTCCCACGGGGTTCGGGTCCGAGCGCTGAGCATGCGCCAGCAGCACCTCTGACCTCCTGTGAAACAAAAGAGAGCATTCCAAAAAGGTGTGTGTGAGTCTCATTTTGAAGGGATTTGATGATCAAAGGGGGGGACCACCTGGAAAGCAGGAAGATACAAACCAATTTGGGAATACTTGATCACTTGCTAGATAAAAAAGACACTGCTGGAGGTGGCATAATTCAGAACAGGTGTTGCTGTTGCTTATGGATTTTAAAAGCTGAAAGAAACCATTATGATCAGTCACATTTCGATAATAATGACTCTTCCCTCAATCGCATCACTTCCGTTTGAGCTGGAGGATATTTTCTGGGAAGAAAATCTTGATAATAAAGACTTCAAGGGGGGAAACCCATTCCTAGGCAACACCTCTGAGTTAGGTGTGCCAGTGGTAAACTACCCATGCTCTTTGGAACATGTTTTCTTCATTTCTTTTCTAAATTTATCTAGGTTCACCTGCATCTCATCTTGTCCTTC